TCTTTAAGGACTTTTCTTCAGCTTTATCTGATTTAGCAACAGTCACTTGAAAATATGAAACTAAGAGTCAATGTAACTTCTTTAAAATACTGGGCTCAGGAGAATACACAGTACCATTCTTTTGAGCCGACTTCAAATAATTTTCACATGAATGGCTAAAGTGCAGAAATGCATAATTTATTAGGATTTAAATAAATCACTGGTAGAAAGGTGCCTTTACATTATTAGTAGAAAGTTTCAAAATAAAAAATTTTAATTCTAAGAAATTAGGTTTTAATTCTAAGAAATTAGTGTGTAAGTTTTTCCCATCTTTAGTATTTCCAAGCAAAACAATTAGCATACACAGTTTTTAGCATTCAGTGACAGTGAAATATTTTTAATAACTTAATTCAATTTTGTTAGCTGGGAAAATACCTTTGTAAAAACATGTACTATCACTAGTAAAATGGTGTAATCTTTCTCCTTTGTCTCATCAATTTCCCTATTAGTTACCATCATGGAAATATTCCCAAAGGCTGCGAAATTTGTCAAGGATAAAACCCTTTTTCTGTTGAGTGTATTAGAACATGCCTGGCTTCCTCATGGGCTCTCAGAGAATAAAATGCTCCCTTTCTCCCAAAGGTGCTTGCATTTTCTTTTATTTTTTCTTTGCAATGACAATTATGACCATACCATTAGTAGTCAATAAACATTTCATAGTTGCCCAAACAGCTAAAATTAGAAATTCACAAGGATTTGAAATGACATTACTAAAATAAGAAATCTGAACTTATAAAAAAATCAAATAACTGTAACTGGAACAGTGACATGAACATCATTTTTATTCACTGAAAATATATTCTTTCTTAAAAAATCTATGGCATAAATGTAACTATAAAGGAACACTGCTATTCTCAGCACTTTCTGCCTAGAAAATTCAGTGTACTATATGAAAACATCATTAAATTAAAGCATGTAAACTTATTTATGTACAACATGATGCTTTTAATGCCAACGCACCAGAATAAGGCACCAGAAATATTGAAAAACACAAAGAAGCAAGGTAGAAATAATGTGAGATTATCATAATTTAGTTTGCCACTTTAAGATAAAATTGAAAATAAAATAAACATAGGTTATGATATAGCCAAATTATTGTGAAGTGTATCAAATTGGCTGGCTGTACATTATGGAGGTCACAAAAAATTATTACTTTTAAAATGTTTTCCCACAAATTAGCATATATAAACAGTGTTTTCTCTAGTTTCCAATATGCTACCTAAAAATGACGATTTTTCCCCAAGGGAGTCTGGTTCCAATCCAAGGAGAAGCAATAGATGGAATCAGAATAGCAGCATTTGACAGACACTAATAAAAAAGATCAGTGGCATTCTACAAACTTGCAATATTCCATTTTATAAGCAGCAGCAGTACAAAAAGCATGAGCTCTGGAAGCCAGTTCAAATCCTGGTGCCATCACTACAGGCTCTGTGACTCCCAGGGGGCTACTTAATCTCTCCCAAATTCAGTTTTCAAAGCTGAACAAGGGAAGGAAGTGCACCTTTTCCCAAGGCCCACTGCAAACACAGAAAATAGGCGTACTGAGTTACCTGATTCAGTCTGTATTCAATACATGCCAGCTAATATTTTTTTAAAAGAGAAGTTTAAATTTATCATCTGGTTTAACTGAAAACAATTTCTTAGAATCGTGGTATTACAGGAATGTCTGGTCTATTCTTTAGGGAATTTCAAAAGGAATAGAAAAAATACTGAAATATTTCAGAAATACTGAAAAGTAGAAAACTCTTGCTTCTCATTGGTTACTTTGCAGACTTACTAGCTTTTTTCTGTAGATTTTTGAAGATAGTAACATTCTCGTGTTTCTGTCTCTTTAGAAACTGGAAAATCTCAAGCATGTAAAGACACAAATAACACATTTGCCCCATGTTAAGTGGGAAGATTAGGTCGCTATTTATATAGAAGTCTATCAATAGTTCCCATTTCTAATAAACTACTGGAGAGTGTGTGTGAAAGGGTTAAAAAGTGTCACAATGTTGCAATATGTTTTCTCACATAGGAGTATCAAACTTGGCTTATTTTGAAAGCTTGGTAGGTGACCTCAATGCAAAATTAAACACAAAGGTAAATAATCTTGTCTTGATCCACATCCTAATTGTATGGATTTCACAGGCAGAGTTCTTTTTCAATATTTTCTGAAAAGTGACTTGAATTTCCTTAAAAATAGTACCAATATATCAGAATGCCATATTTTTCAGAATCATGACAAAAATGTAAAACCTCCAACAAGGTTAAAAGTCACTCACCGTTGTCTATTAAAAGAATTAAAAACTACAAAATACCTTTGTGCAAGAGTATTAATAAAGGTGATGAATTTTACAAAATGTATATATTACTTTCACCTTTAATTTTGTACTAGTCAACTTGATTCCACATTGCTTTTCTAAGCAACCCACAACAGACAAAAATTTTATCATTTTATGCTCAAAATACTATTGGCAATGTCACAAGAGACTTATTTAAAACTGCAAATCATCCTGCAACTTGTTAGGCTAGCACTTTCCAGACTGAAGCCAATGGTGGGGGGGGGGGGTTGTCATGATGAAACTAGCTAAAATAAATAGCTGCTGCATATTGAGTAGTAAGGCTGTACATACTGCTTTGTCAACTTTGTTGAGGGGGCGAGAGGCTTACAGTGTCAACAATGCCAAGTGTTTTGCACTGTGACATACTAAGAGAAATTCAATCACTTCTCTTATGTCAATTAAATTTTGCCTTTGAGAGCCCCCTACAGGCTTTGTTAAAAACTGATTACAGTAATTTATCTTTTAGTTGGAGGGTTGCTCAGGAACTAAAAAACTACAGCCCACAAAGCACATGTTTACATAATAAATAGGCAGTTTGGTCTAAGAACTTAAGCTGACACATAGGTGGCAAGATCTATATTAGCTCTCATTAAATTTAAAAAATAAATCTCACAACCAAAGCTGAGAGCAAATTAAGAATCTCACAAGGGCTTCAGAAAAAGAGTTAAGACATTTCACTTTTATAAGACTTGACAATAGTGCTGAGAACTTAAGTGATGAGGTGACGAAAAGTCTTATTTCCACATACCCACTCCCCAAAGAATTGAATGAAGAACAATTTTGAAATACCAAATGCTAAACCCACGACCCCAACACTAAGAACTAGTGGATCAAAGTTCTAGAACTTTAAGAAATGGCTAAAACAATAGATGAAGTGATATAGGAAACACATGCCATTTTTTTCATTGAAAACAAGCTAATAAGCTATTAGATTCCCACCTTATTCCCTTGCTCCTTTCATAAAAGCAAAGTTAATGTAACAGAACTACAAAGAAAAATAGCAAGACTAATCACAATCACCACTACAAAAAATAGCGCAGAAGCCTAAGAGCAGATTCAACTTACAAATACAAAATGGGCAGGTTTGCCCTGAGATGTTGGTCCACTTGTTTAAAATAACCCTCGGGACTCCCTGGTGACATAAGGTGTTGTCTCAGCACTACGAAGCTATCCACAGCCACTGCAGCTTGAGTTCCAGCCCAGGTCAGCAGATCTCTCGTCTTGCCTGCCGCTCACCCTCCGCAGTGAGTTTCAGTTGACCTGCCCACACTGCTCCCCACTTCCTGGTGAATCCTCTCATCCCCCCACCCCACCTTTAGCATGCATAATCTTTCAAAAAAAAAAAAAAAAAAACAGAAAACCCTGATTTATTTAAAACCATCCCAACACTGATGTACATACCCATTTATCTTGTGTTTACTGAAACTAGACTAGAAAGTGTACTGGGTCATAATCCAAATTTATCCTTGCTTGGCTTATCCTCAGAATTAGTTATCCTTAGAATAATTTATACCAAAATTAGTAAAAACACTAATTTTTGTTAGGGCTCCATTTTAGTAAATGGACTGTTTAGTAAATTACTATTATATTGAATTATGCTTTCTCCCCCCAAAAGTCCCAGAACTAATGTTGATTATAAACATAGGATTATTCAAAACAAGTGGTCATACACAATTTGCCATTTACTTAATGCATAATAAGATCTTTGTTATGGTAAGAATGAAATTTAGTAATACTTTAGTATTTTCCTTGCTTTTGAATGCTTCTTAGTAATCATTTGAAGAATTAATTCTGCACAGGTTTCTTAACTGAAATGGGAAGGCTGGGGGGAAGAGAGGGAGCAGGCTCCAGCTTAAGAAATATACCTGTTTCCCCATTATGCCTAGTCTTTAGTGTGTAGAATTACCTCCTCTGGTCACTCTTTACAAATCAACACAATTAAACTTCCAGTTACCTCAAGGTATTTTTTTTTTCCTTCTCTCTATTCCACTTAAAGAAAAATACCTTTCCTATTGTTGGCAGCAAACTGAACATCAAAACACAAAAACCATTAAAATGATCCCTTGCAGATGGAGTAGCCTGAAATGAAGACATACCTGTTAGACATGATTATTTGCCCCGAAATGGTGGGCAGCATGGTGAGCACCCACAAGACCTTCAGTTAGGTGGAAATGACTCCCAACATGATCGGCCACTAGCTGGACAAGCGCTCCATCACCTACAGGCTCACAAATCATAGCCTGGCATCGAGGTCACCTAATCCTCCAGATTCGTCCCCCTCAAGTAGCCTACCTGGCCAGTAAGGGCAGAACCTTCTCTAAAAATAATTTTTTTTATAAAATTGTGCTTCATACCGAGGAAACCAAGACGCTGCCACAAAGAAAAATGGCTACCAAAGGTTACTTACAAGTAACACTTTAAAACACACTTTCATTTTGAACAACTATTCTAATGAAGGACTTACTCTACTGTATATTTACTAGCCAGTGACTTCAAGACCCAAATTGATGAGTGACATTCTCTCATGTTCATGAATCGAACATAAAACACACATACATGTCCTTTACACACTCTCACACACAAGCAAGCGTACCCACACATTTTCTTTCTTTCCAGAACAAGCCAGAATTACAGCTCTTTTGGTGATTGTTATAATTTTGGAATGGTTCATAAAATTTTCAAATTCTTTTAAATTCATAATACTTTTTATCTTTTTTTCTTTTTTTGCCAATTGTGAACCATTCCATATTGCATCTTTATTGCAAAAGTCAACATGCTTCTTAGAAATTCAGATTGTAATCGATAAAACAAACATTACATATATGAATTTAAATGTATATAAACAGTTAGAAATTCAACAATATCTCCTATTATACTATTACACAAGTTCACAATTTTGTAAAAACTATAATACAGGCATACTATACATCAAGATGAACCACTATTCCTTTTCACATGATTTTTTCCTTCATTTTGAAATAACGATCCATAACCATGGACCTTTTCCACCCTAAACAAGACTGTTTTCCAAAATGTCATCTTAGCTACTGATGATGTTCCCCCCAAGTGATAACATGAATTGAGGGAAATTGTGCATCCCTGGGGTCATCTTTTTATGCCTGAGCAGCAATCCACTAGCAAACCAGGTTGACCTGGCCAAATTGGTGGTGGTATTTCCTCATCAGCTATTTATAAAGATATCAGACATATTGAAAATAACAGAATTTGCCTCAGGTACTATGTTTTTTCTATACAAGATGTCAAGAAAGCAAGTCATGGTAGTTACTTGGTTTTCACAGAAATTCAAACACTTGGGGACTTGAGGGTGGGGATGAAAAAATCTAAAGGAAAAAATATGTACATACACATTTAGTCACTTTATACTAACTTTAAAAATTTCTAATATGACTTTTAATCCATACTTTTGAGTTAATTTTTGAGAGTCAAAACATGTTTCAGGATTCTTAGAAAGGACATTTTTAAAGCACTTAAATCCTATTTAAGATATGCTGAAAACTTTTATACAAAGAGCCTCAACTCTTACTGAAAAACTATCTATCTGGTCACACCCTTTCCTTCAAATCTCCCCTCCCCCATAACTAAAAATTCAAACAAATCCTTATCTCTTCATATTTAGAGTATTAGATGTCAATTTTGAGGTTTAAAAAAATCATATGAAAAGGAATCTCATTCTGTCAAACTGTCAGTCTACTGAAAATTTTCTTACAGATCCATTAATTTACTGTAATTTTCAGTTTCCAAATACAAAAATACAACAATTCTTATTGAAATCTATACGCTGGTAGTTTTAGTACACAAAAAAACCAAACAAATTATTTACAAAATTATACAGCTTAAGAAAAAACTTTGTACAAAAAATATATAAATCCTTTGTTCCCTCTATCACGTTTAAATTGTCAGGACTCAAAATATTCACCACAATGAATCTTTCAAAATATATACCAACTGAGCCACAGACATCAAGAAAATTTCATTAGAGATGATGGAGGAGGAAGGAGCAAGATTGCTTATTCTAGGTACCCCATTGCAATGTTCTACTTCTTTTTTAAGCTTATTTTAGTTTCAGTGTTTTCAGAAATATAATAACCTACAAAGAGGAAATCTTTATTATTATGAACTTAAAAATGATCCTGGCTTGATACATCATTCCAGGAAAATATGTAGAAAAGAGAATCAGGATGTGGGATATAACGTCTTGTAGCTAAGTAAATCTAGAGTCCTGATGGTTTTAAGTTTCTTAGTGAATAGGTTCTACTGTGAGAAAGAGTCTTCACTTCAGGAAACAAAATCCTTAATACAGCGATCACCAAGAACCTTTTGAAGCCAACAGGAAGTTTCAAATTTTCACACCACACATTTATAAAACAGATGTGTATATCCTTGAAAAAGTGACATCCTATGTACATCAATCATTTTATTTCCCCAGGGGTCAATACAGTGTAGTGTTGCTCCTCTGCTTTTCCATCTAACATCCAGGACACAAGGACATAAATTTACATATATATTTTACTTAACAGATACTCTACTCTATAGAGTGTACAGTAAAAATGCACACAGTGAAGGAAACTGCCTACTGAAGGATGCACGTTCATGGATAGCAACAAGCTACAAAATTATGAAAATATAAGTTCATCTGATCAAAGTCAAGTATGACTCCCATTTATTACTAGCATACCCATCCCCTACCCCACCCAAGCCCACCCTACCCCCGGTCACCAAACCATCATGGTTTAATTTTAGGAAAAGAATTTCACACTTTTTAACCCTTTTGTGTAACTAAACTGAAGCTTTTAAAAATAAAAATAAAAAGCTGGTGCCTCCCCTCTAAAAATTTTTACATTATTCTCATCAAAACATCACTTATTTATCAAGGTGCTGGTTTCAACTTTTTATTGAGGACTGACTTTTGGTGACTGTAAAAAATCACTTATCTCAATAATGGATAAATCAAGCCTAGGAGTAAAAATGCAGGAGAAAGAAAACAGGGACAAGAAAGGGGCAATAGCTGAAAGCCTTTTACTTTGTAAGAATGTAAAGAAAAAGGACCAATTGTATCAATGTTCATTAAGTATCAAAGTAAACTAAGGATCAATAGCAGAGTACAGCAGAGTTAGTATGATAAGAGAATGGAAATCCTATGGAGCTAGCTACCACTGCCTTACTGCATTTAAAAACACAGAGTCTGCTGTGATTTACACTGAATGTAGCAGTCACTACTATACAGAGAACCCCCACAACAATTTAGACTGAATAGAAATTGGGCTCCTCCACAGTAAAAAAATTAAATTTACTTTCCTTCCAAGATAATTTTAGAAAGCAAAAGGGCATTTTAATCACAAATATCTCCTACTGTCTGACGTCCCATCCATAATAGCTAAGAGTTAAGAGATTCCAGGCAATTTTGACATTTAATGAAATTTTATCAGCAGATTATAATCCAAAATAAAATTTCTGAACACCCTGTCATTTACATTATAATCCAACACCAATAGCAACAAAAAGAGATGGTGTGGAAAATAAGGCTCTAGAGATTATCCGTGTCATTCCTGTGGATCTTCACAACTGTGTAAAAGTCACTAGGCCTTTGGTGCTTTAATATCATGAACAGTTATGAGATGTGTTTAAATAGCAAACTTGCTGTCCTTAAACCTACTGTGTTGAAAAGAAAATAAAAAGAAAATTTTTGGCTCATTGACTTCTTTAAATAATTTTAAAAAGTTGTTCTTCTAAACAATATTCCTAAAAATTATACAGCTTGAATCAGATTTCATCTTCGCCATGAACGAGATTCATATTCATCTTCATCTTCGTCGTCGTCATCATGCAAAAACAAATCTGAGGTTTCTGTTTCCTAAAGAAAGAGGGAAAACATCTGCTTAGTGGTAGAAGAAAGTCAAGTAACATACATGTACGCCAAATAGACTCACATATGAAGTCCAGGTTGTATTTACAAATGATGCATTCAGAGTATCTTTCAAGGCCAAAATACTCCACCAAAGCCTGAAACATTTTCAAATATGTGTGCATATATATATATAGTCTTCTCTCCTGTGTTTCATGGTTTTAACAGATTTCCAACCCAATTATGACAAATAAGTAACATAAGAGTATTTTATGGGGAAATGAAAGAACAGTATCTATGAAATAAAGTCTGATAAAATGTACTTTTTTCCAAATGACTTAACATTGAGGAAAATAAATGACCTAACTCCCAAATATTTCCTTTGATATCTGATTATCTTTGAGTGGAGAATATACTAATTTCTTCATGACATGGACATTCCAAAGTTTACATAAGAATATAAAATCTTAAGCAAAGTAGAAGTATTTACAAACATTCCCGAACTATCATAGCTTTTTTTTTTTAATAGAAAATGTCTCTGTGTTTCTAATGCAGAATTACCCACATGAACGGAAAACTTTCTATCAACCATAATGCTAAAGCCTTTTAAAATCACAATTATCATGAATCAGGAATAACTTGCAATGCTGGTTAAGTGTCCTTTTCAACAAACTAAATAGAAATAGAGGAGTAAAATACCAAAATTAACTGTCATATATTTAAGAGGCTAATAACTATGTAGCATTGGTATTAAGTCCTCGGTTTTCCTGATCTTCCCTTTATGCCCAAAAATCTCCTTATACTCTGATTTAAGAGTTGCACATAGAAAGAAAACAAGATATTTAAATTTATTACTTTTGGAACTTGAATTAAGCTAAAATTTAAGTTACTGGCAAGCGTGTAGAGAAAAAGGAACCCTCATACACTGTTGGTGGGAACACAGGCTATTTCATAGCCCTTATGGGAAATAATATAGAAATTTCTCAAAATACTAAAAATAGTAAGACCATGTGACCCATCAATTTGACTCCTAGATATTTACCCAAGGAATGCAAAAAGCACTAACTCAAAGGAATGAATGCACTTCTGTGTTTATTGTAGCATTATTTACAAGAGCCAAGTTATGGAAATGACTTAAGTGCACCAAAACAGGAACAGGTTAAGGCAATGCAGTATGTAAACATAATGGAGTACTACTCAACTATTAAAAAAAAATTGTACGCTAATCATTTGACATCAATGGAAGTGCAGGGGATTATGCTAAGTGAAATTCATCAGAAGGAAAAAGATAAATATCAGATGATTTCACTCACAGGTGGAATAGAGAAACAAAGGAACTGACAAAACTGAATCAAAGCAAACTATAGAAATATGACTGCAGTGTGGAGGATACTAAAGGGGAAAGGACAGTGAGGTGGAGGAACAAAGTGGGAAGGGAGCTCTGTGGTAAAGGACTGAGTTTTCTGATGATGGATGTGGTATGTAATGCACATAAGAAGTGTGAACATATTCCCCTAAATCATATACAATGCTGCATATTGATATAAACTCAATTTTTTTAAAAAAGTCAAATTTTATTTGTTCACATGATCCATGTTCCTCATTTTACCAGAATTAAAGTTTCATGAGCTCAGATAATGCCAAAATAAATACAAATAAAAATGAATAGTTCCTCATAGACCAGAAAATAAAGCCCAAAGAGCTTTATTTCTGCATCTGTTCTGATGCTTTAATAAATCAGTAGACAAGTCTTAACTGCCTGCCAAAAAAAGTTTAAGAAAAACATATAATTGGGAAATGACCTAATTTAACTCTTCAATTTTCAACCATTAAATCTACCTCCTCGGGCCCTCCCTGGTGGTGCAGCGGGTTAAAGCAATGCACTAAGAAGCTAAAGCCATTTCCTTATGAGTTTGATCCCTGCCTACCCCAGAGGTGATCCACATGGCCTGCAGACCTCTCCTGACCTGCCTGCTGCTTCCCTCAGCAGTGTACTTCCATCTATCTGCCTGTTCTGCTCCCCACTCTTGTGTGTGGTGAATCCTCTAACTGTCCCCGCACCTCTGGCCTGTACCCCAGTTCTGTATACATAAATAAATCTTAAAATATATATATATATATATATATATATTTTTTTTTTTTTTTTTACCTCCTCCTTGACTTCTTCTTCCTCAGTCTCATTGGAGACAGAAGGCACCTTGGCCTTGTGCCATGATATTTGCAGCCGACGGTCTTTGAATTTTGACCCTTGGTTTGGAGCCTAAAATAGATTTTAGAAGAACACAAAAGTTGTATTCACATTATTAATGATTTCTTCAAATGTGTGCTATTTCAAATGTGTAAAATGGGGGAGGGGAGAGGTTTGTGAAGCTGACCCATGATAAGCAATGAGGGTCAACTTTACAAAAAGTGAAGGGCCTTTTTTCATTAGCAGACTAGATGTTCTGGTTTGCTCAGATAGTCAAGAGCTTCTCCCTGTGTCAGGTAAAATTTAGCCTATGTTTTGGTCTGGATAATAAATTAGACAAGTCATAATGAGGACAACAAATGCTATCCATATATAATAAGTGGTTTCTGATGTTGCATATTCATACTGAAACCCTAAAATTATAAGCGGTTTTTAAAAGACATTTTTTTCACCCGAGGGATCTCTTACTGTTCCACCTGTATTTGATAAAGCTATTCCTATTTCGCCTTCTAACTTGCTATATATATCAATCACTATGACAAATACTCTTCAACACACCTAAGAATTCAACAAATGTTAAACATCTACTAATCTAACTTAAGGAAAAACGCCTCAATTTCAAATATATTTTTTTGCAGTACTATACGAACATTTTTTTTCTTCCCTAGAAAAATTCAGCAAGAGAAAATAAAAGGTTTACTTTTAAAGATAAAGCAGTAGAGTCAAAAGAAAAGGATCCAATGTTTCATGAGGAATGGAAACTTGGTCATTCCTACAGCTTCTCTATCAACAATACTGGATTATGGAATAGCCTCAATTCTTGGTTCAGCTATGAAAATCATAATAAAAGAGTTTCTTTAAAGTTTGAGGTTTCACGCTATACTTTTTCTAGGGCAAATGTAAATAAATCCCAGGATGCCAAATGTTTCCACAAAACAGACTGCATGGTAAGAATGCCACACTGTTCATTAAGCTAAAATGGAAATAACCCTGGAGTCTAAAAACAGGAAAATGGAGAATCATATTGTGCTATATTTATACAACTGAAAATTAGTAATAAAAATGGCAAGCTCACACGATTATGGTGATGGCACATGGGTGACTTGGTGATGGGAAACCCGCGGGGATTACAATTGAGATGGAAAAAAAAAATGTACAAAATGATGTAAAAATAAACTTTTGTAATAAAAAAAAATGGCAAGCTACTCTTATATGTAAAACAAATCAATCTCACAAATGATGTCAAGCAAAAGAAACCAGAAACAAAAAAATACACACGGTGCAATTCCAGTTACAAAATTTAAAAACTTGGTAGAGTTATTACTACAGAATTTCAGAATGCACATGTAGCTGATACTCATTATTTGTGGTAGTTACATAAAATCATTTCTAACACTAAGTGAGCAAATACTGAATCATTCTCCTTAGTGGAAATACAGGATTAGGCTCCCACAAGCTTCTGGTTTCATGTTTAAAGACACCTTATTTAACATCTACTTGCTTCACTAACACTGAGTAGCAATCAAAATACTCTCTCTCAGGCCTCAAGAAAGTTTATTTGACACATTTTCTCCACACCACACGTCACAGTCTTCTTGGACTTGGGAAAACTATACAGCACTAAATGTGTGAGTCACCTTAAATAGTGCAATTACTAATGAAAAGCAAAAAACATGAGGTATGAAATAGACTGCAAATAGAACAATTGTTTATAACAAGGGGTAGATATAAGAAGTTTCATCTTATTTGACTTCAACTGAAAATGTGCCGAAATGGTGACTCAAATTTTTCATAGCTGAAAATTGTTGTCGTCTGAAAATCATCACAAAAACACCACAAATTTTTATCCTGAGGTTACAAATAAGTTTTAGTGGGTAGGTGAATTTCCAAATATGGAATCAATGAATAATGAGGATCAACTGTATAAAGCAAGCATGGTGATCATAAGGTAGAGGAAATGGTAACTGCTCTAAAGAAGAGAAGACAGTGACTAGAGAAAAGGGTAGAAGAAAACTTTTGGGTTGCTGAGAATGAATGTTCCATTTCTTGACCTGAGAGGGTAAGTATTGGGAATTTATTATCTAATAAATTATTAAACTATATATTTAGAATTGATAATTTGTTTTAATAAATGTTTAAAATCAAATAGTATAACTTTAAAGAAAACACCAAACAGCTAAACTATCATATAATAATATGATCCCACTTTAGAAAACTGTTTCTAAAATAAGAAACATTATGTATGTACTTTTAGCCCTTTCTGGTGGTACAATAGGTTAAAGCTGTCTGCAGCCACTACAGCAGTTCAATCCCCCGCCAGGGAGGTGACCCACATGGCACAGCAGACCTCTCCTGACTGGCCCGCTGCTCTCCTCAGCAGTGTATTTCAGTCAATCTGCCTGTTCTGCTCTGTCTCTGATGAATCCTCTCACCCCTCACATCTCTGGCTAGTACCCTAGTTCTTGCTTATATGCATAAATAAATAAATTTTTAAAGGAAAAAAAAAGAAACATGCCTATGTTTTTACATTAATAATCTTTCCTACGCAAATATCCAAAAATAGTAGCTAACTTTTAAAAAAAGTTTTAAAACAAATATTTATTTATGCATAGAACACAAGGGGTATAGACTAGAAGTACGAGGGGCGAGAGGATTCATCAGAGACAGAGTGGGGAGCAGAACAAGCAGATCTACTGAAATACACTGCTGAGGGGAGCAATGGGCGAGAGAGGAGAGGTCCACTACAGGCTATGTAGTCCAGCTCCCTGGAGGGGGATTAAATTCCTGCTGCAGTGCCTGGATAGTTTCATATTGCTGAGACTTAACCCTTATGTCATCAGGGAGATAGTGACTAACTTTTAAGGGTAGGCAGAGGTTAAAAGAAAATTTTACACTTTTTTAAAGCATAATTTTTAACTATATATATTAATTTTTAATACCTAAGGCTTACCTCTTAAAATGTCGTATTTATTTAAAAGCATGTTTTCTTACACATATATCTATGATATAATATTGGGGGAAAATTAGATCCCATCCATATGGGACTATTTAAATCTAGTATGGCACTTTTACAATGAAACACCATGCAGTTATTAAAAAGTGAAACAATATGGTACACACTAGTATAGAATAATCCTTAGTAACAACTTGTTATAAATTAAGTGAAAACCACATGTAAAAGTGTTAAATAACATGCTACCATTTGTACAAAACAAGATCAAATTATATGTATGTGCATAGAGAAAAAAATCTTAAAGAAAATGTGACAAATGATAAACAGTAACTGACTATCTGAAATTTAGTAACCTAGGTAGATTACATGCATTTTTATTTCCTTTATACTTGGCTATATTTCAGGCTTATCAAATATATGACCAGCACAATTAGTTATTATTAGATGTTTTACAATGACCCCAATTATAAGAAAGAGAGATCCATTTGAGCAAGTAATAAACATCTAGATAGTCTCGATTCACCTTCATGCTATGTGGAGCATGCAGCTTCTTACCCATTAAGATTACCTACTATTTTAGAACATTTTGCAGAGTCACTTTTAAAACTTCTATTACATAATCAAATTATCAGCTCACCAGAGCTGGTACGAAATCTAAAAGCCCAACTTACTTGACAAAAAGATCTTAATTTAATATATTCATTATTAAAAGGGAAAAATTCACATTCATTTAGCTTCTACAAGGTTAGTCTGCACATGTATAGAGTGCCTCTATATATTAAATTCTTTACTCATCAAAGAAATAATTTACTGCTAATATTTTATAAAAAATGAAAATAAGGTTCAGACTAGTCAAACAATCAGCTCCAGAAAGAAAAAGTCAGTCCAGATCTCAAATCTGTATTCTTTATAACAACCCACCAATATGGACATCAAAAGATTAAGAACCTTGAAGAAAAGTTTGCTTTTCAAGTTCCCCCTTGCCATATTTAAACTAAAAGGTGGAAAGCATTTTCTCTCAGAAAAGTTTTTTAATGTATAGGGATACGAAATGTTAATAGCCAGCTGTGTTTCTTTTTTTTTTTAGTATTGGTTCTGGCCACTTATATAACTCTATGATGTTGACTGACTTGAACTTCAAGTGCATTAGGAAGAATGTGTTAATACCCATGGTTTTCACAACTTTGTATAATCTATAAAACATTTGACATTTATGCAGTATGTAGCAAGAAAATGCTGAACACTGTTTTTCAGAGTTAGCATTTACTAGTTTAAAAATTACTAAGAGGGCCTTCTTTGGTGGCACAAAGGATTAAGAATCAGCATCTTGCAGCTACCCAAAGCGACTGCAGAAAGAGTTAGAGCACTGGCCAGAGAGGTAACCCATATGGCACAGCAGACCTCTCCCATCTCACCCACTACTCCCCTCAGCAGTGTATTTCAGTAGATCTGCCTGTTGTGCTCCCAACTCTGTCTCTGGTGATTCCTCTCACCTCTCCACCACACCTCTGGCCTACACCCCAGTTCTTTTATGTATAAATACATTAAACATTTTTAAAAATTAAAAAAAAAAAAAAAACTTACTGAGAAATGTTGAAGTAATTCATCTTTTTCCTCCTCAATGAATCCCCCAACTGTTAGTGCTTTGGGGCGGTGGTCAACCACCATGTGATTGAGAGAGCCTCTTCCTCGTCCTCCACGACCTCGGCCTCTCCCCCGACCTTGAGAAGACATGGTCTTTCCTCGACCCACAGGTAAAATACCTAATCGTGCAGCCTAAGTAACAGCGAAAGACAGGATGTAGAATACAAACTGAACCTTTGACAACAAAAGAACAGAAAACTTTTTTTGAGGTATCACTGTATAGTAACCTTCTTAAATCTTACCTCAACTTGTAACTGACTCAGTTTTTTCCGCAATTCTGTCGTGTCTTCTCCTGAGGATAACCTCTTGTGAAGGTCCAGTTCAGTATCTAACAGTTCTTTCTGGGCCTTGGGAAAATTAAGATTAAAAATGTATTTGTTAAATAATGTCCAAGATCTTATGCTTACAGATGATGCTTCTCTCTTTTGGAGAAATGAGAAGATGCAATAATACACAGGTGCCTTACAAAAAGCAACTTCACAGGTGTAGTACTAAAAACATGAAGACAATATTAGGGAACATAATAAGCAGTACTACTGCTTAAGATGACCTAAAAATGAGACCTTGGAAAGTCATCTAAGATAAGGAGCTGAGAGTAATTTCCCCATAATGAGGCATCTTAAGTGAAACACAATGGGCTTAAGTAAATTAAATAGCAAAAATTCACCACCAGTACAAATGTAAGCTGCATAACTGCTTTCAGATTTGAACCTTGTAACTGCTGCCATTGGTTTTTTGTGTGTTTGTGAGAAATAACATCCTCTTTGGGGTCACAACTCTGAGATATTTTTTTCTCTCCTATATGCTCTTTAATTTTTACAATGTGCATACATTCTTTCTACAATTGGGGATTTATATTATTAAAAAGAAGTAGCAATAGAATATTTTCCATTCCTATACTGATAAGAAAGCACAATTTCAAATGTAATGTAATGTTATACATAAACATTTTCATTCCATAGATCTGGCAAATTTATGACCAGTTCTCAAAGAACTGGAAGTTAACAGAACGGTAATAAATAAAGCAAGTATTCTTCTAGACCAAGGAAATAAGAGAAATGACAAAACTGGACTGAAATGGACCTGAACTTGAGATTATTCTTTTTAATGACATGCCATTATTTTTAGCCACATTAAAGTCAGTAATACCATATGAATAAAGAGATATTATAATATTATAACATTAGGGAAAAAATTTGCTGAAAAAGAGACACCTCTGTCTTCTCCATCACTCTAGCAGTTTCATCTTCAGCACAGAGACCAAGAAATTCACTTGAAAAACACTAGTCTGTTCTTTTTCAAAGAGAGTACATATAGCACCTATAGAAACATTTTAAAATTTGTTGTAATTGTTTCCCTACTAAACTATTTGCTACACAAGAATTCCACCTATATTTTCAATAAATCTGAACTTCTTAAAAATCCAAATAGATACCTCTGTTTTTGTCTTTACTTTAGATGGTATGGAGACTGCAGAAGATGTTTTTAATTCATCTTTCAATTGTGAGATCTTTTCTCCAAGCTCTTTCAAAGTCTTCATTATATTTGCTCTCTCTTCTGGTTTCATGCTTTTGTTTTTTTCTAACTTAGATATTAGCATCTATAAAATAAATAGAAATAAGTGAAACTATACCTAGAAAAGTTTAGTGTGAATAATCCTTAAAAATTTTCCTATTAGAGGGACCTCCCTGGTTTTACAAGAGGTTAAAACACAGTACTATGAAGCTATCCACAGCCACTGTAGCACAGGGTTTGATCCCTGGCCAGGGAGCTGACCCACATGGTGTGGCGGACCTCTCCTGTCTTGCCCACTGCAGTCCGTCTGCCTGTTCTGTTCCCCACTCTGGCTCTGCTGAATCCTCTTACCCTCCCCATCTCTGGCCTGTACCCCAGCTCTTGCAGACATAAATAAATATTTTTAAAAAAACCAAAAAACACTTTCTTATTAGGAATATTTTTATAAGAGCCATTCTATATATTAATTATAGCAAATAATGATCTCTCACCTTCTGGCATTCAATTTGCTTTTCTAACACTTCTTGCCTCTTTTTCCTCATGTCTTGTTGTAACTTCATTGCTTCCTATGTAAATAAGTAAAAAAAAAATTAGTAGGGACACAGAATTTGCCAATGATATATAGAATTACTATATTCTCATTTATTCTGGGATGTTACTACTTGAAATAAATTTCCTTCCTAATCAAAAAATAGCTAAAAGCAGAGATTAAACCTTTATACATATTCCCAACACTTCCAACACAAGGTTGTTCACAATTATAACTGTAACTTTAAAGGTCTTTAAAATATTGAACACTAATTAGTTGTCTATATAAGGCCTTAGTCACTTAATGACCCAAATGTGTTTATGAAGAAAATGTAAGTCGTTTTCACCTGCCAATATAGTAAGCTTTATTTTTAAAGTTCAAAATTTCAAACTGTGAGATGGATAGGTTAATAAAAATGACAGCAATACTTATAGACCCTTGCCAGGGAATTGTTACCGATCACCTCTAAGTTAAATTAAATCATCAATGCTAACTCATGGGGGGAGATGGGGTAATACACATAAGTTCTTAAAAACCTTGTGTGAGTTTAAATCTGATAATGAAACTCAGAATTTAGTCACATGAATAACTATATAATGTTACAATTTATGTGAAACAAAACCAGAAATGAACAGAAAGAAAATATAATGAAAGTGCTTCCTAAAAAAAAAGAAAGAAAGTGCTTCCTTCTGTTTCTTGGAAGGAAAAAACACATGACAGCTCAATGTTGTTTACTTTAATTCAGAAAAAAAACTTCCCTTATGTTTGATGTAGTCCCTGAAAGACAACTACAAGCCCCTTTCCTATTTGTTGATGTTTCTTCCAAGTTTATAATTCATCAAAAAACAACTAAATAAACAGTATAAAGTAGTTACATTACTACTAAAGTGTTCAAATATGTTAACATAGTCACTGAGGAATTCAATGGGCTTGTTCCTCTATAAGGGGAGAAGAATTAAGGCTGTTACCTGCTTCTTTTTAAGAACTTCTTGAACATCATGTGATTTAGACCCTGAACAAAGTTTTGAAGGTGTCTTTAAGTTTGGGGAGCTGTAAACCATTTTTTGATGACTTGGAGTTGCAAATATCTATAAAACACAAGATTAAATGTTTATAGTCATTTTATATATATATACAAGTTTTCTTATAGTAGTTTTCTATAACTTTCATAGGTCCTTACATGGAAAATTCAACTTTCATTTAAAGACAAAATCTAAAAATTAATCCATAGCTATGTTTCACTTCTGGATGTATCACACCTTTGTTTTCTCTATATATTTATTTACTTTAAGAAATGAACAACAATCCCTGATATCTAGGAGTTAGTGTACCACTGACAGCTAAGCCTTTGTGTCCTCCTGTCAAACAATTTCACAAACTATCAAATCTCAGATAAAGTCACTCTTAACACCATGATGGATCAAGATAAAAACAAGGGCTCTCACTATATAATCATGATAAAACATGGGGGGGGGGACCCATGAAAACTATAACCCATAAAAATGACCAAACAGGGCCCTCCCTGGTGGCGCAGCGGGTTAAAGCACAGCACTGAGAATCTAAAGCCGCTTCCGCATGAGTTCTATCCCCGCCTGCCCCGGAGGTGTCCACATGGCGAGGCAGACCTCTCCTGACCCGCCCGCTGCTCCCCTCAGCAGTGTACTTCGTCGATCTGCCTGTTCTGTTCCCCACTCTGTCTCTGGTGAAGCCTCTCACCGCCCCTGAGCCTCTGGCCTGTACCCCAGTTCTGTATGTACAAATAAATAAATCTTAAAAAAAAAAAAAAAATGACCAAACAGTTCTCTACCCTGGCTAAACAGAAAATATTGCAGCCCCTTTACACAATTATACCTTTAGCCTCATTCTAGTTTCACTGTGTATACTTCCTCATTAAATAATAAACTGAACGTGTTCAAGTATAGGTGTCTTCCTGGTGTTTGGCTACAGGGTACTGTCATAAGTGAAGTGCCAAATATGAACCCACACTCCTAATAACTGCAAACCCTTCTTAGAATTAAGGTATATTGCAATCATAATCTTAGTATTTATTTAATTGAAATTATGAGCTTACAATCAAACATAAGACAAGTGTTAGCTCACAGGTCTGATTTTGCAAATAGTGAGATATTGTACTAGTGCTGCTATTTCAATTCCTTTTCTTAACAGATGACTCTCTAATTAATATTCCTCCCACTTAAGGCACAGCAAAGCAACATAGTAAACAAAGGCCTTCCAGATTCAGGGCTCTCCTAGGACATGCTATTCTTTTCTCAATTTTTAAGTTAACTTTGAAAGCATGATGTTAAGGAACACAGGATATAATTAAGGAATTCATGGGAAATTCAACCACATAAATAATATCCAAGTATAAAATGCCTTTCAATCATACAATAATTAGCTGTTCTCAAATTTAAGCAAAATGAAGTAATTCTAACCACACATGAAAATCCCTAAAGTATTTTTGGAATTCTGCATAGCTGGAGTTCATGGTGCTATCATGACTGTTGTTAATAAAAGATGAAAACACCTACTGCTAGTTATTAATAAAGATGGAAACACCTACAGTTTAATGAGCATTTATTACGTGCTAAAAACTTCCCTTTTATGCTTTATAACTCGAAAGTCTCAGTCTTCAGCGCATCTCAAGGAAAGGAGACCATTGCTCACAAGTTATCTGGCACAGTTAGCGGGAAGCAGATCACTGTCAGGACTGCCTGGCTTCCAACTCTATAATAGTTTTTCTTTTTCTTTTTATAATGTAATTTTTGAAACAGACAAAAGTATAAAGTTACATGAAGTTGATGCATACATCAACAAGTAGCAAAAATTATCAACACAGAAAACAAACTTGCTTTTTACTAGTATCTTTGGACTACTACATCTGCTGCATCTATAACCACTTCAGTTGTATTCTAATTAAATTCTTTTCTTTTTAAAACATTACTGTATTACCATCAGCAAACTTAAAAAATTGTATTCTGGCCCTCCCTGGTGGTGCAGTGGGTTAAAGCACAGCACTGAGAATCTAAAGCCACTTCCGCATGAGTTCGATCCCCACCTGCCCCGGAGGTGACCACATGGCATGGCATGTGACCCGCCCGCTGCTCCCCTCAGCAGTGTACTTCGTCGATCTGCCTGTTCTGCTCCCAGCTCTGTCTCTGGTGAAGCCTCTCACCGCCCCTGAGCCTCTGACCTGTACCCCAGTTCTGTATGCACAAATAAATAAATCTTTAAAAAAAAAAATTGTATTCTGATCTCCTAAACTGTTTCCCAACTGAACTGGGATCTATTAAAGTACTTAAGAGTTAATTAGCCACATCTCTTTAAAGTTTCCTTTCATTCAATGTCCCATTCCAGTTCTTTCTTTTCCTTGCAAAATATTTTTTGAGGAAACCAGGTCATTCATCCTGTAGTTTTCTCTCCAAGACTCAATAGCAGCCTTTAACATGTTTCTCTATCTTCTGAATGTCCTTTAAGTTGGTGGAAAGATTTGGAGCCTTAATGACTTTTCTGTTCTTTGACAAGATTCCAGTAATCTCTGATATCTTCCTCAGTCTCTAAGATTTGACAAAATATTCTAGGCACATTTGTAAGGATCCCTGCTATTCTTAGTGCCTTTGGGTTCAAGGGGTACTCATTTCTACAGGGCAGGCCTTTTTTCTAGACCATTCCAGTGAACAGGATCAGAAAATGCTTACTTATTTTTTAGCATATAGTAAAATCTGAATTTATAGTATATTTTCAATTCAGATTCAGGATACTATAGTATTTTTTTTTTAATTTATTTATTCGTACAGAACTGGGGTATAGGCCAGAGATGTGGAGGGTGAGAGGATTCACCAGAGACAGAGTAGGGAACAGAACAGGCAGATTGACAAAGTACACTGCTGAGGGGAGCAGCGGGCGGGTCAGGAGAGGTCTGCCTCGCCATGTGGGTCACCTCAGGGGCAGGTGGGGATCGAACTCATGTGGAAGTGGCGTAAGCTTCTTTGTGCTATGCTTTAACCCGCTGTGCCACCAGGGAGGGCCCTACTATAGTATTTTTACTTAATTTCATATACCTTTTATCTCTTTCCAACCACACTGAAATCTTAGTAATTAATGACACCAATGTAATTCCTTTTGATTCTTTTTTTTTTTAAATGACTTACTTATTTGCGCATACAAGAACTGGGGTACAGGCCAGAGGTGCTGGGGGTAAGAGGATTCACCAGAGAAGAGTGGGGGAACAGAACACACAGATCTACCGGAAATACACTGCTGAGGAGACCAGTGGATGGGTCAGGAGAGTTCTGCCACACCATGTGGTCACCTCTGTGGTAGGGGATTGAACTCATGCTGCAGGGGCTTCAGACAGCTTCATAGGGATGTGCTTTAAACCACTGTGCCACCAGGGAGGGTACCCTTTATATTTATTCTGCAGTGCTCACAAACTAATTTCAAAACATAGCCCACAATATTATTGCTGAAAAGAGCTTTTTAATATAGTTTTTTTTGTCCTCAGAGTATAACTCACTAGGAATTCATAGCCAAAAAACTACATTGTAAGGCACTATCTATACAGACATGCTAGTTTGTTTCCATTTTCTACTGCTATGGATTATCTTTATTATATTTCATAATTACATGCAGCATTTACATGGTTCTAAAACAAATGTTTAAAACAAGACATAGTCTGGCCTCCCTGGTGGAGCAGGGCTTAGGCCAGCACACTTTTGGTCTGTATCCCTGTTCTTGTATGCATAAATCTTTTTAAAAAATGAAAATGAATCTAAGGCCTCCCTGGTGGCACAAGAGGTTGAGTCTCAGCACAATGGAGTTATTGGCAGCCACTGCCGCACAAGTTCAATCCCTGGTCAGACAGCTGACCCACAGGACACAGCAGACCTCTCCTGTCTCACCCACTGCTCCTCCCAGCAGTGTGTTTTGCGCAATCTGTCTGTTCTGTTACCCACTCTGTCTCTGGTAAAGCTTCTCACCTACCCCCCTGTACCTCTGGCTTGAACTCTAGCTCTTGAATACATAAATAAATAAAACTTAAAAAAAAAAAAAGTGAATCTAATTTGCTCTGTTCTGTGATGCTATCTAGTTATGCCAAAACAATTTATCAATTTATCTTCCTCATTGATGTGAGATACCATGAAAGAATAAATTTTCACTTGCAAGTGAGTCTATTAGTCAATATTTTATCCCACTTGACTATCTCTTCTTTATGTGCCGTATCAAACTGTCTACTTAGAGAGACTACAGCACTTCTTATTGTCTAGTAGTGTTAACCCCTCTTGTTGTTATTTTTTCCAAGCTTTCCTAGTTGGCTGAAATGATCACCATGCCAGGGAATCACAGGATAGATATATTCGAAAGGGCAAAACAAACTACTTCAAATGTTTAAAAGTTTGACTTTTGCTTAGGGTAAATCTATTTCGCTGTGTTCTGAATTTATCTAAGAGGAAAAATGATAAGAGAAGTGGACTGTTAGACATCTATTAGTAAGTGGCTAAAATCCTCAAATTCCTACTAAGTTTTGAATAGCAAAAAAATTAACTAGTAAATTTCTAGCTAACTATATGGAAGTTTGAAGTTAGCTGTCACACTTACCTTGAGCAAGGAAGCAATACACGACGACTGTGAATGATAGTCAATCTGCTCATTTCTTTGTGTCATTGAACAACGCTAGTATTTGAAGTTCACATAAGTACATACCTGGGAATCCTCACCAGCACCACCAGACTGATTCAATAAGTGTGCGGTATCACTCTGGTTACCACTTGCAAGTCCAAGACGATGTTTAACGGGAACTTTGTTAAGAACGTATGCACCTGAGCTCTGTGGCTTGTTCATCATCTGCATATAGAAAATAAAAATGTGGTAAATGTTTTTTAAATGCCTAGGAATGAAACAAGGTTAGAATAGTGTTTACCCTTAGTAGGAAGACAAGGATATGGTTAGAGGGAATGCTTTCATTATTTGTAAGGCTTCATTTTCAAACAAAGTGGTAGGTATTCAAATAATCCATCCATACATTTTTAGAAATCTAAGAGACATCACAACAAAATGCATATAGATATATATAAACCCTCACAGACACAAGTTTCTCATGAGGTTTTTATGCTTTCACCAGTATGTAGTGCTCTGAAAAGGCTTATGGGTTTCCTTGACAACAGATAAGGCTACTCCCCAAATATATTGCAATTTTGGGTGGCACTAAGAGGGTACTGTCTAATGAATCACAGATGTGATACCACTATTATACAGAGTATTCAGCCAGCAACCAGGTGAAGTATTCATTTTTGAGCTCTAACATGAAGTATGTATGCAGAACGATGAATGGAGCTGTAAGAAATACTTTTTTTTTTAATCTGAAAACAATCCAAACAAAAGAAGAACCAAGGAAACTATCTCTATTGATAATATCTGAATGGCTCTAATAAGGAGTGGCTTCCTTCCTTCACCTAGTCATTCAAATAATTTTATTTTGAGCAATGTTTCAGGCCCTGCCCTGTCTCCTAGAATAGGCATAGAATGAATGCGAGAGACAAAAATCCCACCCTCTTAGAGCTCCAAGTTCAAGAGGAACACAATAAGGGCAAAGGGGGAGGGACAAGTTGACTGACTCAGAGATGTTCTAGAGTCAAGAGTTGTTCGGTGGTGGGCAGTTACTATACTTTACTATTAAGAACCATTACTTTCTGCCTGTGGACACCCCTAAGCATGCACCAAAAAACTGCCCCTCCTACTCTCATCATGTCTAAGACACAGTGTCCTCCACCAAGCCAGAACAGCTGCAGAAGTTCTTTATCAGAGGCTTAAGCTTTGATACAACAGATGAGAGTCTGAAAAACTACTCTGAGCAGACTGTGTGGTAGAAAGAGCCAAACACTAAGTGATCTAGAGGCTTTAGGTTTGCCACTTATATCACAGCAGAGGAGGTGGGTGTAGCCAGGAATGCAAGGCCATACAAGGTGGATGGAGGATTTGTGGAAGCAAAGAGGCTGTGTCAGGAGATCGTCAATGACCTGCAGTATGGGAAGACTGAAGTGGTTGAATTCCTGACTGATGGAAGAAGCAGTGGCAAGAAGAGAAGCTTTGCCTCTGTAACCCTTCATGACCATTTAAATTATACAGACAAAATTGTCCATCAGAAATACTGTGAATAGCCACCACTGTGCAGTAAGAACAGCCCTATCTAAGCAGAAGATGACCATTTCTTCATCTAGTCAAAGAGGTTAAAGTGGTTCTGGAAACTTTGGTGGTGGTTTTGGTAGGAATGATGACCTTAGTCATGAAGGATAGGACAGTGGTCGAGGTGGCTTGGGTGACAGCCATGGTGGTGGTGGATACTGTGGAAGTGGAAAGGGCTACCATGAATTTGCTAATGACAAAAGCAATTTTGGAGATAGTAGAAGCAGTGATGATTTTGACCATTATAATAAAATAATCAATCTTCAAATATTGGACTTTGGAGGCAGACGCTCTGGCCCCTTTGGTGGCAGAGGCCAGTGCTTTGCCAAACCATGAAATCAAGGTGGCTTTGGTGGTGCGATCAGCAGCAGTAGCTATAACTATGGCAGTGGCAGACGATTTTAGTTAACTACCAGGAAACAAAGGTCAGTAGGAGAGGAGAGCCAGCGAGGTGACAGGGCAACTACAGGATACAAAAGATCTGTGAACTCAACAAGTTCAGTGGTGGCAGGGCCTGGCTGCCACATGGAAGACATGTTTTAGATAATACTCAGGTCTATGAGGGGAAAAAAACCTTGAGAGCTATATTTGTGACTAACTGTAAAAAAGGTTAGTTCAGTTTCTGTTCTGTTCCCATAAAGGGTTTTTTTCTTTTTTTTTTTACACTGTGCTGAGACTCCTAAATGTAATAAACTGTCATCATTAAGCATTAAGAGTGTGTTTAAATGCATGAAATAATGGGACATATAGAGAAACTGACTAGGTTTTGGCCGGTAAGTCTCAAGAATAATTCTAACGTAAAACCACATTAGGGTACCTAAGAAATCACCTGGAGCGCTTCTTAAAAGATAGGTTATGGAGTGCCAACCATAGCTATTCTGAAAATGAACATATTTAACAAGTGTCCAGGAAGTCAGATGCTGCTGGTCTGTAGATCAAACTGAGTTGCTCTGATGTAGAAGACTCACGGACCACAAACTGAAAAATAACATCTAGAGGTGTAATTCCTGTGATTACCTTTTGTATACCTCCATGTACCGTCGAGGGAGGAGACTGAGCCACCAGCACCTGCTGTTGCTGAAGGTGCTGGGGCAGGTGATGGTGCTGCTGTGACAGGTGACTAAGTGTTTGCTGCTGCTGCAGGAGCAGCTGTGTTGGGGACTGTAGTGCTGGCTGCTCATTATTTTCCCTATGCCACAGCACTCTAATGAATCGGTTGTTTAGAACTGCTTCTGTGCTGGAAATGGCTTTCCTCGCCTCCTCATTCGTAAGATATTGAATGAGGGCAGCTTCTGGATCTCCCTTAAAAGCAACCTATCAAAAAAAAAAAAAAAAAGGCAACACAAAAATACAGCAATTAAAGTTAAATGTGAAGTACTAATAAACAGAAAACAAACTGTTGAAATACATTCTGAATAAAGTTCTTCATTCCCTAAAGACATTTATATTTCAAAATTATCCACAAAAGTTTACTTAGTAATAATCCCAGTAATGTCACCTAACCACTTGAAGAAGTTATTAGATTACTCCTGATAGCTTATATTCAAATGAACTCCAAAGACAGAAGATATTTAATAGAACCAAAAACAAAAAAACAAAAAAAACCCCATAAAACTCAGAAAAATAGGCCCTCCTTGGTGATGCAGCGCGTTTAAAGTACACCACTAAGGAGCTAAAGCCACTTCAGCATGAGTTCAATCCCCGCCATGTGGGCGCTGGAGGTGACCCACATGGCGCAGCAGACCTCTCCTGATCTGCTTGCTGCTCCCCTCAGCAGTGTACTTTGTCAGTCTGCCTGTTCTGCTCCCGACTCTGTGTGTGGTGAATCCTCTCACGGCCCCTGCACCTCTGGCCTGTACCCCAGCTCTGTATGCATAAACAAACAAATCTTTAAAAAAAAAAAATCAGAAAAATAATTTGTGTAATTTGAGCATTTAGAAAACCTTTTTATACATATCTACAAAGCTGGTTCCACAAAGAATAACAGCTCTAGATCTGACCATAATAAATTCTATGACCTCTCAGTTCAAATATGCCATAAAATTACAAATGAAAAAAATGACTGCATGTGGTGCATATTGTGCTTAGTTCAAGGGTTTGTGGATGCCTTATTATAAATTCCCTAATAAAAAAGGGGCAAAGACTATTGATAGACAAAAATTAAAATGGTCTATATAAATTAGTCTATCTAGAATTTTATTTTATTATTTTTTTAAAGATTTATTTATTTATGCATACCAGCACTAGCATACAGGTCACAGGTACAGGTGGTGAGAGGATTCACCCAAGACAGAGCAGGGAACAGAGCAAGCAGAATGACCAAAATATACTGCTGAGGAGTAGTGGGTGGGTCACGAGAGATCTGCTACACCAAGTGGGTCACCTCCCTGGCCAGGAATTGAACCTACACTGCAGTGGCCTCAGACAGCCTCTCAGTGTCACACCCCAACCTGCTGTACTACCAGGAAGGGCCCTCTGGTGAATCCTATAACTTCCCACTCCCCCCACTCCTCTGGCCTGCACCCCAGCTCTGGTATGTATAAATGTATCTTCTAAAAAATAAACGAAATATTTAACAAGCAGATAGCAAAATACAAAATTTTTGCATGATTTACTTGATGTAGAGGACACATTATACACTGCTTAAAATTTTCAACATCAGAAACATCCTTAAAAATACTATTTCATGAGAAGATAAGAATAAGTCAATAGCCCAAATTACAAATTGTTGTAGGCACTATCAAAAACCTTACCTACCCAATTAGAACATTAAAGCAGAAAAAAATCACCTATCCACAGATAGGACTATGAACAATAATAATGTAACCAACCCACTGTTTTTCAGGAAAAGATTGCAGAAAAGGCCAAACAAGTCGCAAGAACAAAGCTGGTTTAGCAATGCCATCATAAAGGTTAGTGTACAAAAATTTAGTGGAGTTCACAACATTTAGCAGAGGAGATCAGACTTACTGCTGGCTCATTTAAGCAAAGTGAGCTGATAGAAATATTTTCAAAGATGTGTAAAATACAAGGATTCTGTCACCAACATGGGTCACATTTACCTGGATGTTAACAATAGTTCCAAATTTGCTGAAGTGTTCGTTGAGCTTGGTAATGTTGTTCAATTCCTGAGGGATTTTCTTGACTTCTAATTTGGTGTTTGTATATTGATTCTTTCTCAAGAATCCTGGTTTACTCTGATTGTTATTCCCCTGCCTGAAAAGAGTATTAACAGATCTTGGTTAAGTCTCTTACCTCACACCTAGGCAAATAAATCAGTAAAGAATGCAAATTTATATTAAAGTGTATTTTTTAAGTTCTTAGCATATTTTCTATACTATTATATACAATTACCAAGATTCACATTAAGGCAAGCATACAAACATTTTTTTTAATTGTGCATTTTTCAACTCTGCAAAAGCATAGCACTTTTTTCTTCTTTTCTATTCATTTCTAGTGTTTCAATAATTCTTAGCATTGGTTCAGACCTATAAACAAATGAGAACAAATTACTACTATAAATTACTCCTACTAGTAGGAACAAATAATTACTTGAATGGACTGTTAACTTTTTAAATTTTAAAGCATTCTAACGGTGCCTCTGGGAACCCAAACTTTGAGAAACCTCATTTGAAAATCACCAATTAATGACAACTCTTATTTTTACAAATTTACTAAGGCAAACAAAACAATGACAAAAAACAAACACAAAAACAATGCTACTGGTTAGCAAATCATCTTACTTTCCCAGCCAAGGTTTCTTTGTGAGTGGGCCTTCCAAACCACTCATAGCTCTTTTTCGGCTATCTGGTTCAAGAACAACTCTGGTTATGTTGCTATTAACTGAAACAGGGACTGGTGGTTCAGTCTGGATGACAATGTTTGCAGCTGTTGAAAACAAAAATTACATACAATTCATTATATCTGGAGAATTTCAAATGATTAAAATGTTTATTGCAAACATCAAAAAGATATCCAACTATTATAATTTTCTTTTCGTCCTTTTAAAACAGTATCTAAGTTTAAAAACTTACAGCCAATCCCTGCTCAGCAATGACTTTAAGGCAAGAATCACCAATGGATGCCAAAAAAATAAGGCAGTGAAAGTTTGTAGGAGAATGTTTGTTGGAGAACATTATATGTCAAAGTACTACTCCACAATTATTCAATTTCACAATTAACTGGTCTAACAATTATCACCTTAGGCAAACAATTAAATTTAACATTTTAAATATAGTGAAATTATTTGTCTCCTGATGCTTCCTTAAGTATCACTAAGAAATTAATCTGGATAGATACCGTAATGAAATTATAATTTTCTCATGTGTGCCAATGATATTGTGATTATATCAAAGGACTATGTCTCCCTCTGAGATTTCAATGAACAGAGCTGTAATTTACTCTCAAGTTGCCCAAGAAAAAAATGGAAAGAGAAAGATGCAAGTACAAGTTAACATCCATGCCCAAAGGTGACAAAATCCTAACTGGATTATCTAAGAGAAGGCATTCAGGCATTTATTGTACTTCTTTTGATTTTTTTTTAATAGGGTGACAATTTTTAAACTTGTAAGTTAGCAGAAAAATCCAAAGCCAGTATTGTAAGTTAGCACATTTCATTCAAAACAGTGAATGAATATTAAATACTAAGAAAATGACCTTAAAATACATGTGGTGGGAAGAAATGTGCTCAACCAGAAAGTAACACAAAACAATGCATTCTATTCTTGGGTGTTCTCCCTAACTTCAGCCACTCAACCAAAAATAAAACAGCAGCAAAAAGTAACATCTAGGGCTCATGCCAGGATAGGAATGGGGTACAAGGCCCTCCCTGGAGGAGCAACTGGTTAAGGAGCAGCACTATGAAGCTGTCGCAGATGCTTCAACACAAGTTCGATTCCAGTTAGGGAGGTGACCCACATGGTGCGGCAGACCTCTCCTGTCTCACCCACTGCCCCCCTCAGCAGTGTACTTTGTCAATCTGCCTGTTCTGCTCCCCTGTTCTGTCTCTGGTGAATCTGCTCAGCCCCTCACTCTTCACACCTCTGGCCTGTATCCCAGTTCTTACATGTATAAATAAGTATTTTTTTTTAATTCTTTAAAAAAGTAGAGAGATATTGGCCCTCCCTGGTGGCGCAGCGGGTTAGAGCACAGCGCTGAGAATCTAGGGCCGCTTCCGCATGGGTTCGATTCCCGCCTGCCCTGGAGGTGACCACATGGTGTGGCAGACCTCTCCTGGCCCGCCCGCTGCTCCCCTCAGCAGTGTACTTCATCGATCTGCCTGTTCTGCTCCCCACTCTGTCTCTGGTGAAGCCTCTCACCACCCCTGAGCCTCTGGCCTGTACCCCAGTTCTATATGCACAAATAAATAAATCTTTAAAAAAAAAAAAAGTAGAGAGATATATAGCTAGAGGTTAAGTGACTTGCCCAAGATGACAAAAGCAAGCCTGCTGTATAGCACTGTCACAATGTCTATAATTTATTCTCAAATTATTCAAGAAAAAAAAGTGAAAAAATTTTATTGCAATGTTTTAGGTTCTCAATAATAGCAAATTTACTAACTCTATGAGTTACTATACATGATATATAAACCAGGCTAATGGCAAACAAAAGATAAGAAGTCACTGAGAACACTATCTTCTTACTAATTTCAGGTACTTTGGTAATAAATTATGTATTAAAGCAAAGGCAGGGGGTCTCCCTGGTAGCTCAGGGGATAAGTCAACATTGCTATCAAGCTATCTCCAGCCACTACAGCAAGAGTTTGATCCCAAGCTAGAGAGCTAGCCCATATGGTGAGGCAGACCTCTCCTGTCTTGCCCGCTGCTCCTCTCAGCAGTGTATTTCAGTCAGTCAGCCTGTTCTACTCTCCAATCTGTCTCTGAGGAGTCCTCTCACGTCCTACATCTTGGGCCTATACTTGTTTTTATATGCCTAAATAAAAATAAATCTGAAAAAAATGTATAATAAAATAAAGCAATGGCAATAACATATTTTCTAGTATTTGAACTGGGTTCAAATTACAGTCCTATCATTAATAGCTATGACCTTGGGCAAGTACATTAACTTTTCTAAGCCTCAATGTTTTTACATATGAAAAGAGAACAAAAAATACCTTTTTCAAGTGTTGGTAAAGGATATGAAAGATAAAACACATGAAAAATCATTTCATTTAGTTGTGACACAAAACTGTTAGCCTACAGTGATTAAGTCTTAGTAATGGCAGTAAAGAAGAGTTAATAAAATCAGGCTAGGAAGAACAGAAAATGTTCATCGTATAGTTAGATCAGATGACTCATGACCAAATCATTCAAGTTGAAATTAAATATTTGAAATCTTACATAAATAAAAACAACACACTCTTTAAGCAAACTTATTGAGGGGAGAGATAAGAAGGGCATCTATCCATATTAAACACTCGGATTTAATCGTTTTAAGGTTTGTGGGTATGCGCTGGTTCTAACAAATGGTTATAAACATAAATACTAAAATTTAATTGCAATGTTTTAGGTACTCAATAATAGCACTGTGAAGAACAGTTCTCCTAATGCAAAGAAGGCCCTAATATGACTAACTTTTTTGAGGGCAGTAGACCATGTCATTTCTCTTTTCTATCAGAGTGGGAGTATACAGCGAAAATAGCCTAAGTCCATGCGACTCCCTGGTGGCACAAGGAGTTAAAGCATAGCACTATGGAATTATTGCAGCCACTGCAGCTCAAATTCAATCTCCAGCTGGGGGGTGACCCACATGGTATGGCACACCTCTCCTGTCTCATCTGCTGTTCCCTGAGTGCTGCTGAGTGTACTTTGTGGAGCTGCCTATTCTGCTCCCCACTATGACTCTAGTGAATCCTCTCACCCGACCCACACCTCACCTGTACCCAGTTCTGTATGTATAAATAAATAAATCTTAAACACACACACACACACACAACACAGCACTATAAAGCTATCTGCAGCACTGTAGCAGGAGTTCGATCCCTAGTCAGAGAGGTGACTCACATGGCACAGCAGACCTCTCCTGTCTCGTCCACTGCTCTCCTCAACAGGGGATTTCACTCTATCTGCCTATTCTGCTCCCCACTCTGTCTCTCATGAATTCTCTCAAACCCTGCATCCCTGGCCTATACCCCACTCTTGTACGCATAAATAAATAAGCTTGTTAAAAGAAAAGCCAAAGTCCTTAAAAAAAAAGCAATTAAGTAACCTTCACTATTTTTATTTAAAAATATGTTCCAGTTATAACTTTAAAATAATATTTGGAGATAAAGCTACACAAAATAAACACAATTTAAATCTTTAAAAGATAGAATATGTAAATACTTTTAGATCAAGTACTATACTCAACCACTATACAACACCTAGCAATAGAGAAAGTTCACCTCTTGGATTTGCATCCATGTCTCCAGATGTTAGGCCAATCAGATTTGGGCGCTGTGTCTGTGTTCTTGAAAAGAACTGTCTGTACTGAGATCTACCAGAACTGGTAATACTAGGAGCTTCTGGGTTATAGCCATCTGGTTCATATGTATCTGAGGGAAAACAAAGTAATAAAGCACACACCAAATCAGAGAATGGTTAAATCATTTCCCATTATTATATAACTGCAAAAATGAATTTCCTTCAACAAATTAGTCCCATCAACCCACATACAGTTTTTCTTCTAAATACACTGTATAAATACACCTAGGAGAAGAAAAGAAATAAAGATGCTTCTGTCACAAAACAAGATACACAAATCTATTCTTAAATACTGATTAATCTCCAGATTAACTTCCATTTTTAATTATCTACTCATTTTGATCCTAATAAATCACCCCTCTAAACTTTAAAGTACACTTTCAAGAGAAATTTTCACATACACAAATCTCCATTTATGAAAGAGACTTTTCTGTTATCTGTCATATTTCAATATTTCTAGGTACTCTCTTAATTAGGATGGAGGTAAGTTAAGGGTCATCAATCTATCAATGTGGTTACCTGCACTTTAAACTGTAGAAACAAAAGCTGGTTTCATAAACGCTTTTATTTCAAACACTTAAGTAAGTTTTGTATTTATAAAATAATCATTATCTTACTAATATGTACTTCACAATGACTTTTTTCATGTTTCCTGTGTTTTCTCTACAACAAAAATTTAACTTTTAGAGTTATAAAGCTAAATAACAATTTTGTTAGAACTTAAAACAAAAGTTTTGAATCTGTTAATATCTGAATGCTATAAATCCTCTTCATCCTACATAAAATGAAAGAAAGGTTAAGAGTGACTGAAGGCACCGATTTTCACAATTGTGATTTAGAAGTCCTAAAGTTTTTTGTTTTTTTAATGGAAAAATTACTTATGTTCTTCATACTGTTACAGCCTGAACTAAGGTATGCATGTCTATTACTGGTCAATCACTTCTATGATTAAGAGAATAATATTAGCAAATCATGGTTAAAGATTTTAGTTACTAGATGGTATTCTTAAGAGAAAATCTCCTATAATTAGGGCTGCAGAAAGTTTTATAGACTTTACATAATCAAATGACCTTATTCTGTAAATTTCTGGGAATAACAGAAACCTCAAAGAACTTAAAAGTTCTTTAATTAATTATGATGAATTAATCTAAAAGCTACGTGAGAAACTTTACTTTATGAGACAGCCAGAAAACACTTCATAGATCTTCAATGGGAGAAGTTTTCTTTTTAAGAGTCACTATGTTATACAAAAATCCATACAATAAGAAGCAGAGGGGAAAAAGGAAAAGTTCATCCATAATTAGCAAGAAACCAGATGCTTTTGTTTTGCCTAAAGGAAAAATTAACCTAGTTTTTTTCTAATATATAATTAATTAGAAAAACTCACATAGATATCCTCTTCCTATCTACCTGATTAGAACTAGTTCAAGGAACTAGCATGACTTTTGTTACCGAGGTACTGAAAGTAAATACAGAGGACACCAGAGATGATAGACACACAGGAGGCCTAATCACCTAGCAGCCACCAGGGACAAACCAAAGAAGAACAGAAAATAATATTTACTAAGAGATTTAATGGGAATTTGATGGCAAATCAGGATGCCAGGTCACGTAGAAGGCTAAGCAGCTTATCATACAAAAGATCGGGGAGTTAGATGGTCATCTACAGCAAAGCTTACCTGGGACCAGAGGGGTGGGGCTGGAGACTGAGGTATGGTACCCAATGGAAGATCCCATGAGATTTCGAGGTGGCACCAAACGAGCTGCCAAAAGAGGAGGCGGTGTCCCCAACTGAAGTCGCTCAGATGCAGCAGCACCATGTTCACGAGAGTACATGGGCTGTCCTACAGAGGAAATAGGAGGGCAAACAGGATTGAAAGGCACAGCTTCTCTTTAGTGAGGTATCTGATGAGACTTTAAGCCAAGGAACAGAAAAAATTACACAGCGACAACAGTAGTAGAGAAAGATGTTACTGAGATTCTTTCTAACTCAAAACTAGACATGAAACCAGTTAGGATGCACTGAGATAAAGACAGTTAGAATTAGGTAGTACAGGCCTTCCCTGGTGGCACAGTGGGTTAAAGCGCAGCACTAAGAAGCTAAAGCCACTTCAGCATGAGTTCGATTCCCACCCTGGAGGTGACCCACATGGCACAGCAGACCTCTCCTGACCCACCCACTGCTCCCCTCAGCAGTGTACTTCATCGATTTACCTGTTCCACTCCCCACTCTGTCTCAGATGAAGCCTCTCATTGACCCTGCACTTCTGGCCTGTACCCCAGTTCTGTATGCATAAATAAATAGATCTTTAAAAAAAAAAGGGGGGGGCTCTTCCTGGTGGCACAATATGTTAAAGCACCGCACTATGAAGATCTCAGAAGCCACTGCAGCACGAATTTGATCCCCAGCCAGGGAGCTGACCCATATGGTGTGGCACACCTCTCCTGCCTGCCCACTGCTCTCCTTAGCAGTGTATTTCAGTAAATCTGCCTGTTCTGCTCCCCACTCTGTCTCTGGTAAATCCTCTCAACTACCACACTTCTGGTCTGTACCCCAGCTCTGTAAACATAAATAAATAAATCTTAAAAAAAAAAAAATAGGTAGTATGACACCATACTTTTTTGTTTAAATCTTAAAAGGAACAACTATTTGCTAATTTAAACCAAAAGTGAACATCAAGTTATTAGACAAAGGAGCCCTGAGCTGCTATTCATGCAGTTTTGTTCTGTCAGGCATGTACCTTTATATGACATGAAGGCTGTTACATCATTAGGGGAAAAAAACAAAACAAAACTTATACTCCCCCCCAAAATCACATAATTTTACATTTGTACAAAGTATGCTACTATGTCTAGGTGTAGAAAAGAAATTCAAAAAAGAAAAAGTACCACAAGCACACCTTTGCAGAGAAGAAAGGTTCAAAGGAAAAATTAAAGATAAAATAGATCAATAAACAAGATAAAACAGGAGCAGGAGGGTAACAAAAATAGAGAAAGGGGGGAACAGGGCATAAATCTCAGCTAAACACATTAGCCATTGTACACAGGCAATGATCTCAGATGTTAAGAACCACTTTTTGACAGAAAGTACATTCAGAGTTTATATATATATGGATATAAGAATGTCTGACATAATGAAGTCAAATGTTACCAAAGAGAATTAAAAGGATAAGGTATCAAAGAGCAAAATCTCTCTGGTTAGTCATTTAAATAGTATCCTTTAAAAAGATCTTATGAAAGCCAAAAAGATATTTAGAGGTGGTGACTTTTAATTTGGGTGAAGTGTTTTAAGTATTTTAACTTATTTTAATGAGTGTACGGTACTGCTACCTATCCAGACAATAACAATTCATTTCATTATTCAAATCCTCTCAAAATGTGCGATATCTTAACAAAAATGATAAAAATTCAGACTTTTCCTCCTCAGCTATAACTATTTGACATTAACCCTTAAACACTGACAACTGTTAGATTAAAAAACTTTAATGTAATTTTTATATTGAGTTGCAATACTAAATTTAAAAGACAGAAAATACACCATCAAATTCAACTTTGAGATAATCCAGTGTTTTGTGTTTACAAGTCCTAAGTCATTAAGAAATACTGTTCAGAGTTGATTCAGGCTGAAACAGATAAACCAGAATTGATGTTATAGAAGCTGAAGGATGAGTACATCCTTTTTTATATAGGCCAGAAATTTGCTATAATTAAGAAACAAGAGGCCACTCTCCTGCACACCTGTGACTACAGGAAACACTTTTTCTTCTTGCTCTTTTTCTTAATCAACTTGTCCTTTTAAAATGTTAAAAAGAAAGAAAGATAGGCCTCCCTAGCAACTCAGGAGTTAAATCTCCACGCTACCAAGCTATTGTCAGTCACTGCCCAGGAAGTGACCCACACGGTGCAGCAGACCTCTCCTGTTTTGCCCGCTGTGCCCCTCCACAGTGTAGTCCAGTAGACCCGCCTGTTCTGCTCCCCACTCTGCCTCTGGTGAATCCTCTTACCACCCCCACACTTCTGGCCTACACCCAGCTCTTATATGCTTAAATAAACCAACCTTTAAAAAAATAATTACAATAATTTGGCCACTATATGTTATAGTCCATTATTTTAGACCAATTTTTTATTTGCATTTATTTACATAACTAAAAAATTTGGGGAGTAGAACTTTACACTTCAACATGTGCATGTGCTTAACCAAAGTTCCACTGTCAATAAAATGTCATGTTAAGATTACCTTAAATGTGATGGCACATGGGTGATTTGGTTATGGGAAACCCAAGAGGACTGCTACTGAGATGGAAAATGCACAAAAATATGTAAAAATAAACTAATTAAAAAAAAAGATTACCTTAAATGATGCTCTCTTCACTTCAGCATACAGGTAAATTCATTATTAGGAATATTTTATTTGACTCTTAGAAGGTAAGTCTTTTAGAATCCCAATTCAGAGGAACAACGACTTTTGACATTGTATTTTGCTGTATCAGAGCAGACTTCTTTAAAACAGAAGTTCTTGCCTTTCTCTCCCAATATCACACAAAATCAAAATACAGCTAACCTGTATTTTATATATTGTAATCTCAAAGCAAATTGCCTTGTGAAATTATGCTACTATCTCTAACAAGAGAAATTTAACTATGTTTTTTTAACACTGTTACCTAATATGAGAAAACATGGCTTTTCTTTTTTAAGTTAAACAACATTTACTTACGTTCTGATACTGTATAAAGGAGGTTCTGGGGTAAAGGAGGAGGTAGTCTTGCTCCCACAGGTGCAAGATTGGGCACTGTATTTGTCCCAGGCTGATCACGGTTGTTTATCAAACTTGACTGTGTTATGGGTGGTCCTACAAACAAAAAGTGAAAAGTAGAGTATTATAGTTTCTATGTGATACTAATTACCTACTTTGGCTGAGAACAGAATTAAGGAATTTGATAATATGTAGTTGTTTAAGCTCTATGAATTTGAGTTGCACAATTAATTAAAATGACATTTTATTTCTAGAACAGACAAAACTTATCTAGGGTAGAAAATAGAACTGATTGCCGCTGGGGATTGAGCTGGAAAATGGCTTGGAAGATGTTATGTTATAAAGATGATGTCTGAAATACATCAAAAATTAAAATGGGAGAGGAAACAATAAAAATAAACCAAGTAAAATGTTAGCCGCAGGACTTGAAGAGTATATGGAAGTATATGAATGGTCAGCGTACAGTATTTTCAACTTTTCCGTTTCTTTAATATTTTTCATAGAAAAACACAGTGGGAAATGATTGGATTCACCTTTAAATTTTCCATATAAATTCATGGTAACAGTATTTCTAGACCTCAAAAATAACCTACTAAACAGGAATCCTCCTTTTCAGATAGTAAAGGAAACTATTTAAAGATGCTTCTTGGGCCCTCCCTGGTGGCACAACCTGTAAAAATGCAGCGAAGCTATTGGCAGCCACCCTGACACAAGTTCAATCCCCAGCCAGGGAGTTGATCCACACGGCCCAGCAGACCTCTGCTGACACGCCCGCTGCTCCCCTCAGCCATGTATTTCAGTAGATCTGCCTACTCGACTCCCCACTCTGTCTCTGGTGAATCCTCTTACCATCCCCCACACCTCTGGCTTATATCCCAAGTTCTGTATGCATAAATAAATTTAAAAGATGCTTCTTTATTTGTAGAATAAAATCTCAACCTTCATTTATACCATATCTGTCACAATATGAAAGCATTCACAAGCACAGAGTTGAGTGTTATTTCTATTGACCAATCTAAGCATGACTCCAAATCTTTATTAACTTGAAATGAAATGTGTCCTGTAAGGATGTTACTGCACAAATTAAAGATGATAGGTATAAGATCATGCTTCATGACTTATGAACATCTTATAAGACTATAATTTCAAAAATGTAAAGTTTTAAAAAAGTGAAAAAATACTGTTTAAATAAACTGAATGCCAATCATTCTTAATATCTATGATCTCTTAATGTTAAATTTCTTCAAGAAAATATTCTTAACTTTTTTGGATCTTTTAGGTATATTTAGAAAATATCCTTTAAAATTTTAGATTAGGGACTCCTTTTAACAGGAGTTAAAAGTCTCAGCCCTTTCAAGCTATCACCAACCACTGTGGCATGAGTCTGATCCCTGGCTAGGGAGGTAACTCACATGGCTCAGCATACTCCTCACCTGCTGCATCCCTCAGCAGTGTATTTCAGTGGATCCACTCAATCTGCTCCCTACTCTGTCTCTGGTGAATCCTCTCACTACACAATTTTCCCCTCACCCACCCCCTCTCTGCACCTCTGGCCTATACACCAGTTCTTGTATGCATGAATAAATATAAAATAAATCTTTTAAAAAAGCATTCAAATTTTAGGGGCCCTCCCTAGTGGCACAACAGGTTAGGATGCAGCACTGTAAGCTGGTCGCAGCCGCTTCAGTGCCAATTGGATTCCCGGCACTGGAGGTGACCCACATGGCATGGCAAAACTCTCCTGACCCAACTGCTGCTCCCCTCAGCAGAGTACTTCATCAATCTGCCTGTTTTGCTCCCCACTCTGTCTCTGGTGAATCTGCTCCTTGCCCCTGCACCTCTGGCCTGCACCCCATTTCTGAATGCATAAATAAATATATCTTTTAAAAAAGAATTAGAATTTTAGGGGCACTCCCTGGTAGCACAATGGATTAAAGTGCAGCAGCACTATGAAGCTATCTGCATCCACTGTAGCATGAGCTCAATTCCCGGCCAGGGAGGTGACCCACACGGCAAGCAGACCTCTCCTGACCTTCCGTTGCTCCCCACAGTAGTATATTTCAGTCAAATCTGTCTGTTCTGCTCCCCATTCTGTCTGGTGAATCCTCTCACTACCCCACACCTCTACCAGTTACCCCAATTCTTATGTGCAAAAATAAACAAATCTTTTTTTAAAAAATAAATATTCTCAAGCAAAGAAATATTCAGTGAACATATACTTACTTGGTATGGGAAGAACAACAGAAGGTGGAGGCTGGCCATGTCCTTGGGGAACAGGAAGTCTCATATTGTGGCCAGGACCTGGACCTGGGCCTGGACCTGGGCCTGGGCCTGGACCTGGGCCAGGACCTGGGCCTGGCATCGGAGGCATTAACATCCCAGGAGGTGGAGGAGGAGGAAGTCCAGGAGGAGGTGGAGGGAAAGGAATCATGCTTGGCAGAGCAACTTCATCAACAACCAGGGGATCATTTCCATGATCAAACTGACAAAGGTCACCAAGTACACAAAATCCTCTTTCTGTAAGAATGAAGAAAAATCTTATTATGACCTACTTAGAGTCTGGGGGGGGGCAGGGGGAGAAACCACATCAATCAGATTTATACAGCATTTCCCTAAGGAGACTAATGTCCTCTTGGTATTATTCTGTTAATCATGACATATCCCTGAGGTAAAAGCAGGTGTACTTTCTACACCATATGACTGTAATATATTGAGATAGCAAATGACACTGGGTGAGAAACAAGCAACTAGCCACTTGCTATTATTATGTTTTCATAACAGAAAAATATCTTAAATATTAATCTAACAAAGAATAATGGAACCGAACTAGATGACCTAACTTTAGCTACCTATTTTTTTTACTATTTTAAAGCAACAATTTTTCTGTATCTAAAAGATAACACAGGTTATGCACTGTAGAATTGTTTGTAATAGCAAAACAACAGCAAAACACTCCAAAAGGGTATCAGCAAGGAAAAAGTTAAGTATATTTTTTCAGTATAGCAGAATAGTAAAAATCCTAAAAAATACACAGAAAGCTCTTTATGTATTAATATAGGAAGAATGTCAGAAAATATTACTAACTGAAAAAAAAAAACCCACTATGTAGAAGAGTGTGAATATATGAGCATTTGTGTAATAAAGTAGGAAGATATATGCATTTGCTTATATACACATGTATAAACTGTGTTTAGAAAGATAGCTAAGAAATGTTAAAATGTCCTTGGGAAAGAGCTCAGTGGTGGGGAGTCCAGAGTGAGAGTGAAGCAGTACCTGGCTTAGGATATGATTCTATTTCTTATTTGTAAAATTGTAAATATTCCCTTTCCTGTATTTAACAAATAAACAATCTGGATTTATAGAAAAAATGCTTATGATGTCTTTGATTTGCTTCACAATTATATAGGTAAGGAAGAAAATGTTAGAGTATAGGTGAAAAAACAAAATCATGGATACAAAGTCCTGGAAACATCAAGGTCAATTATAGTATCTTCTTGCCAGAAGTATTTAAATGGTTCTATAATAAAAAATTAAAATATACACACACATACATTGATCCATTCATTGAATTGGAAAGTCAACAAGTTAACAGTATAAATTGGTTACATATGCACCAAATATCACACAAAGAAATCACATCCTATCAACTTTCATTGTATACATAGTATCTGAAATAACAAGAACAATAAAAAAACTAAAGGGTAAGAACTGAACAGTTTCTTGACAAGAGTCAAAATATTAAATTAAACAATAATTAGCATATACTAAAGAAGTCTCCTCATTTATCCCTGTAACAAAATCTGGATTATAATGGTAAATGTATGCAAATATAAGCAACATTTGTTTTATTATTACTTTTGGGTACAAAAGAGAGTTTTTACCATCATAATCTCTGCATCGCCTCTTTGGTGGTGGGTTTCGACCAAAAGAATTGGAAGAGCTGTGATTGTTGTAGTAATTAGACCAACTCTCTGTTGTGTTTTCAGAATGGTGCGCAGGTGCAATCACAGTGACAGTGCTGGGAATAGACTGCGCCCCGGAGGAATACTGCTCAGAAGAGTTTGCAGGGGGTGCAGACACAGGCACATAGGAACTCTCCAAGTCGTTCCTTTCACTCTTAAACTTTGATCTTTCCCTATGCTCTGCTTTAGAGACAACAACAAAAAAATAGATCAGAATTTAATGTTCTTAAACTTTATTTTCTCGCAGAATAGGAAAGATGAGACCACTGAAAGAAATTTACTGACTTATCCTTATTTCAAAGTCTCTTCATTAATATATTTTAAGAGCAGTAGCATCAAAAATGTGGCATGTAACAATAACTTGTGCAAAATCATTTTAAGACATTAACATCAATTTAAAATAAAGAAACACTGGTTTCCCCACTGATACTAAGTAAGACAATCACGAACTGATTTCCAAATGGATAGCCCACGATATCAGGGGCTGGGATGTGGGTACTCAAGTTAAATTTTTTTTCTTTTTAGTTTATTATAAACTGCAGGCAACCTTACAGCAAGCCAATTATTTTGGGGGAAAGTGGGAGATTTTTCTGATAGATGAGTAGATTTTTTTGATGGACCGTACTGGCTTCTAATGTGAAAAACTATTCTTAAAACGTCAATGCAATTAAAAACAAAAAAGGCAATGTAATTAATGACTTCCTAGAGTGATAACTTTGTTTATAAATGGATACTTATTTCAATTATACAAAATGACTTAAATCTAAACATGAATTATGATACACCTAGATGAATTATCTTTTTAGTCAAACTACCTTGATTCTATCCCAAGAAAAGAGCCCTATCTTTGTAACAAAATCAGTATTAGATTTTTAAAAATTATTTCAGTTTTTTACACAGGCACATTAAACGTACAGTTACCTTTAAGCAAAATTCTAGAACCCTGATGATATAGTAATACAAGCAACTAAGGAGTATTGCGGAGGATGCCTCATCTACTTACCAACATTTCTATTTGGATCCCGGTCTTTGCTGCGACCCCTGCTTCGACTTCTACTTCGACTCAGGCCTCGGCTCTTACTGCGGCTTTTACTCCGACCTCTTCTCCAGTCATATTTCTCACGGTACAATTCATTCCGTTCATAGTACCGGTCATAGTCTCTCCACTTACCATCTTCTCTTTTCTTCTCACGTGTCCTATAATACACCGATATAAAAGCCATGTGTACACTACAGAAAACAAATCTGCAAACAAATCAGTAGGAAGCTCTAACACTGCACTTAATTTCTCTAATCCATTATGTAAAAAGAATAGGTATTCCCTCAACTACACTGGGTGGGGAGAGGTGAATCCAAAATATGAAATAGAGGAAAACGGAACTTCAAAACTATAAAAGAACGAAGTCTCAATACAAAGTTTTCCCACACAAAGACCATTTTATTTTATGGTAGGCTGATGATTCAACATATAAACAATACTACTTATTATATAAAATGCTATGGATAGTTTTAACACTGAGCACCCCTAGCCAAATGGAACATTTCACTAATATTCTCAAAGGAGAAAGCTCCCACCCCGGAGCTCTTGGGGAAAACACATAATGATGACTGTTTATAAAAGGAAGAGAAAGTATGACAAAGACAAAAAACAGACAATGAAAGGAGGAGATGTAATCCTCTCTTCTTCTAGTCAGTTTAGAGAGAGTTAGCCTGTAAGTTAAAAATCCTGTAATTCCCTTATAAGGTAACTGAAGAAAAGATAGCAAAGTTCTTCTAATTAAACACAAACCTTCGCTCACTGGATTCTGAACGAGTCTTCTGGGGACTAGGATATTTCTTTTTTCTGCCATCTCGTTCATCCTCTACTGGCTCCTGAAATACCTGTATTAAAACATTAGAAACAAGAACAGTTCTTCTATAAATTACAAAACATATTTATCCAATCAATCACCTTTCTGGTACGAGACAGCACAAATAAATACAAAGAAATTATGAAATAAATCACATACAAAAAGTTAGGCAACAGGGAGATGTAAAACAATGCTGAAACTTCTCTAACAGCAATATGATACTTTTAAATGTTAATTTTTTTTTTTTAAAGATTTATTTATTTGTACATACAGAACTAGGGTACAGGCCAGAGGCTCAGGGGCGGTGAGAAGCTTCACCAGAGACAGAGCGGGGAGCAGAACAGGCAGATCGACGAAGTACACTGCTGAGGGGAGCAGCGGGCGGGTCAGGAGAGGTCTGCCTCGCCATGTGGTCTCCTCCGGGGCAGGCGGGATTTGAACTCATGTGGAAGTGGCTTTAGCTTCTCAGTGCAGTGCTTTAACCCGCTGCGCCACCAGGGAGGGCCCTAAATGTTAATTTTTTAAAAAGATTTATTTATTTGTGCATACAGAACTGAGGTATAGGCCAGAGATTCAGAGGCAGTGAGAGGCTTCACCAGAGACAGAGTGGGGAGCAGAAAGGGAGATCAACAAAGTACACTGCTGAGGGGAACAGTGGGCAGGTCAGGAGAAGTCTGCCACACCATGTGGGTCACCTCCGGGGCAGGCAGAAATTGAACTTATTCAGAGTAGCTTTAGCTTCTTAGTGCTGTGCTTTAACCCGCTGTGCCACCAGGGAGGGCCCTTAAATGTTAATTTAAAGTAGAAACAGCAGTGGAGAAAAACAGTAAGTCATTCTTTAAGTTGAAAAAGTAAAAATAGCAAGTCTATAACTATCATGCAATGAAAGTTTTCTTCCTAGTTATAAAACGTTCATACATATAACTCATTTAAGGAATGAACACTAGATATGTTCCACAGGAAGGGTTTCAAGATTAAATAAATTAATGAATAAGACTAAGTATTTTATGTCAACCACAGAAAATGGTATTGGGAAAAATGAAAATGTTAAGGTTGTTAAAAGCTAACAACCAAGACTCACCAGAAATAGAGAACTAAGTGTTGCCTTACTGTCTTTAAACAGAAGTCTATCTCAAAAGAAATAGGTAACTTTTACCAAAGTTAGGTAAAATAACTCATTTGGCAAGAGCTAAACAAGTGTTTCTTAAAATTAGCCGAGAAGCCTGCTTAGAAGTATCTGCTCAGGAAGCGAACAAAAGATAACAATTTAATAAACTCAGGCAACATGTTCTGCTGCTCTGTCTCTGGTGAGTCCTCTCACCCTCTGCACCTCTGGCCTATACCCCAAGCTCTTGTATACATAAATTTAAAAAAAAAAAAACTCTTAAAAATTTAGTCATCAGAAAATGAAAGCCACAATATGGCAGCAATATGTTCTCTCTACCAATTTACAGGAACTAGAATATATTATTCCATTGAGATGCAATCAGCATAATCCAAACAGTGAAACACTCTACAGGATAAATTATAAATGTTGTTTCTTTAACAAAACAAAATTTACAGAGGGGATACGTAAAAGTAGAAACGTAGGTAGGTGTGAAGTGTGATTTAAAGAATAGAAAAGGCACAACGGGTTAGAGCGCAGCACTATCGGGCTGTCCACAGCCACTGAAGCATGATTCAGTGTCTGGCCCACTACCAAGGAAGGTGACCCACGTGGCTCGGCAGACCTCTCCAGTCTCACCTGCTGCTCCCCTCAGCAGTGTAATTCAGCTGATCTGCCTGTTTGCTGCTTATTCTTGTCTCTAGCAAATCCTCTTATTTGCCACACCTCTGGCCTATGCCCCAACTGTTGTATGCATAAATAAATAAATCCTTAAAAAAATAAAGAATAGGGCCCTCCCTGGTGGCACAGCGGGTTAAAGCACAGCACTAAAAGCTAAAGCCACTTTTGCGTGAGTTCAATTCCCGCCTGCCCCAGAGGTGACCACATGGCACAGCAGAGCTCGCCTGCTGCTCCCCTCAGCAGTGTACTTCGTCATTTGGCCTGTTCTGCTCCCCACCGTCTCTGGTGAATCCTCTCACTATCCCTGCACCCCTGACCTGTACCCCAGTTCTGTATGCATAAATATTTTTTTAAAAATATGTCTTCTAACAATTCAGATGATGCTGATATAACTAATATGAATAACAAGCTACATACCAAAGGTCTATTACTTTCATGTACCATTTTTTTTTACATGTTCATGAACTCAGACAGATGAGGTAAAGATTTTAATAAGTTAATTATAGTACAACAAATTTACAGGTAATTTTGCAAGAATAGATAAAATGCAGTATGTCTCATACATCATGGCACATACCTAACAAATCTTTCTCCAGCATCATGATGAGTTGTACCAATGATTCAAATTTTCTCACCTCCCCATGTAACACAGTTTAACTGTAAAACAACTATTGCTACATTGTAGCCCACGACCAAGAAAAGAAGTTAAAAATGCCTAATTTTTTGATGGATTTACTCCCTGTATCCTGCTCAGACCAACTGCAACTGAGCACAGACCAAAAAACTAATTAATCAAAGGTAAAAATCCCACACTTGCCACATTATCTGAGAGAATTATTATAAACTATTACATTTATACCCTATTATAAGAACTATTAGGGGCCTTCTGGTGGCACAAGGGGTCACCCCTTGTCTCAGTACTACGAAGTCCTCAACAACCACTGCAGCATGAGTTTGAGCCCCAGAGAGAGCTGACCCACATGGCACAGCAGACCTCTCCTGTCTCCCTCACTGATCCCCTCAGCAGTGTATTTCAGTTAATCTGCTTGTTCTGCTCTCTGCTCTGTCTCTGGTAAATTCTCTCACCACCCTGCACCTCTGGCCCGTACCCCAGTTCTTGTATGCATAAACAAATAAATCCCCACTCTGTCTCTGGTGAATTCTTTCACTCCCCCAGCACCTCTGGCCTATACTCCAGTTCTTGTATGCATAACTAAATAAATCATTAAAAAAAAAAAAAGAATGATACAGGAAATAATAAATTTAGAAAAAATAGTAAAATGAAAAAGGAACTATATGACTAAAAAAAAAAGTGGGTCCTCCCTGGTGGCACAACAGTTTAAAGTGAAGCACTATGAAACTATCCACACCTGCTGCAGCATGAGTTCGATTCCCAGCTAGGGGGGTAATGCACATGGCACAGCAGACCTCTCCTCTCTCACTCATTGCTCCCCTAAGCAGTGTAATTCAGTCAATCTGCCTGTTCTGTTTCCCGCTCTGTCTCTGGTAAATCCTCTCACATCCGCACCTCTGGCCTGTACCCCAGTTCTTGTATGCATAAAGAAATAAATCGTTTTTTAAAAATGGTCACTTAATCAGAAAATGTATTACCAAGTGAATTCTGAGGTTTCATTTCACTTCCATCAAGGCTCTATATTGACCAAGTTTTCTTTTACTAATAATCACTAGAAAAATTTCCCTGAATTCCTCAATATTACCAAAACATTTCTTGAATCACCAAACAAGCTATCTGAAATTCTTCCAATATTTAAGTTGAATGAACTAAAGAATGATAAAGAATATAGTTTACCTCAAACCTTCAAATTTTAGTAACAGTTAATTACTTTTAAAGAGGTCAACTTTAACCCTTGAACAACATGGGTAATGGAATCTAAGAAGATCCCAAAAGCAAAAGAAAACTTTACATTACCTCTTCTTTAATTTCTTCTTTTTCTTGGACTGGTGGTTTTGGCTCAGGCTTAACTGGTTCCAAAGGTGGAAGGTAATTCTTAGTATAGAGACTTTCAAAAAGTTTATCCACAAAACCTGAAGTTTCTAAGAAGAAAAATAATATTTAATTGTCATACAAACAAAAACAAAAGTTAGACAACTCTATAGGCAAACCTGAGGAAAATGGGACATCTTATACACTGATGGTGGGACTAAAATTGAATCTAACTCTAAGAGGTTTGATTCCACTCTTCACTCTTTGGTGTTTAGATTCTTTGAGCATATACAATGATACATACATAGGATTATTTCTCTGACATGTATTAGTAAAAGACTGAAACAAACCAAACCACCACTAATAAAAGACTACGTTATGAGGGGCCCTCCATGGTGACACAATGGTTTTAAAGCACAGAACTGTGAAGCTATCGCAGCTGCACAAGTCTGATCCCTAGCCAGCAGGGTGACCCATATGATGTGGCAGACCTCTCCTGACTCACCTACTATTCCCCTCAGCAGTGTATTTCAGTACATCTGCCTGTTTTGCTCCCCACTCTGTATCTGGTGAATCCTCTCAACTCCTGCACCTCTGGCCTATACCCCAATTCTGTGTATATAAATAAATAAATGTTAAAAAAAAAAGACATTATGGGGGAGCCATACAACAGAATTTACAGTAACTGTAAAAAGAAATCAACAAGGATAATATAAAATTCAAAGATATATGATGAAATAATCGTATCTGTTTAAATTTGCAAATACTAAAAAGAAAAAGGTTGTATACTGAAAGCAGGAAGAGAACAGATGAAGAACAAGTCAAAGAAACTTCACTGTATGGAATAATTGTACAGCCTCCTCAAAATGTTTAATTAAAAAATGTTTAAATTTGTAGAAAAAATACTGACATGAAAATGATAAAAAAATGTATTTTGTATTCTACAAAAACCCCTACTCTATTGTGTAACTTTTTCAGACTAGCTCAATGCAAAACACAGATAAACTTACTAAAACTAAGTGTTGGCCCTCCCTAGTGTTGCAACAGGTTAAAGCCCAACACTATGAAGCTATCCACAGCCACTGCATTAAGAGTTCCAGCCCGGCAAGGGAGCTGACCTACATGGCCAGCAGACCTCTCCTGTCTCCTCTGCTCCCCTCAGCAGGGTATTTCAGTCTGCCTGTTCTGCTCCCCACTCTGTCTCTGGTGAATCCTCTCACACTCACCTACCCTGTACCTCTGGCCTGTATCCCAGTTCTTGTATGTATAAAAAATACATCTTGGGTCCTCCCTGGTGGCACAATTGTTCAAAGCACAACACTGTGAAGCTAGCCACAGCTGCTTCAGCACGAGTTCAATCCCCTGCCAGGGAGGTGGCCCACATGGTGCAGCAGACCTCTCCTGTCTCACCTGCCAGCACTGCAAGCTTGCCACAGCCACTTCAGTGCGAGTTTGATCCCTGGCCACGGAGGTGCCCCACGTGGTGCAGCAGACCTCTTCTGTCTCA